AAGAACCGCGGCCAGCTGGAACCGTTTGTGCCGACGGCTCTTGCCCTTCTTGATGGTCTCCTTCGCCGCGAAGCTCCGCTCGACGGCCGCCAACATCAGGAAGAAAATGGCGCTCTCCGAGGAAAAGACGGCGAGGAAGCCAGCAACTCTGCAGCCGTTGCCCGTCTCCCACCACACGCCAAACTCGGCAAATCGTCCCCAGGAGACGGCATCCAGGAAGGTTAGAATGCCAGTATAGACTCCCATAAATAAGTTAGAGACGGAGATGAGGCCTATGAACAGTTTGGAGGATGGCAGCGGCGTACAAGAGGCAAACACGGTCAGCGTGACGAGCAGGTTGAAGAACAAAGCCACCAAAAAGATAAACCAGACGGTGAGGCGAATCATCCAGCTCCCCAGTAAATATTCACAGGGCTTGAAAGCACCTACAAGAAAAAGGACAACCAACTCAGGGGAAAAAAATCGGGCCTTAATGAGCAAGATTTTCAAAGGTGTTACAAGAGCCCTCCTCATTAATTCACAAATAGAGCACCCGGCTGAACTGCTAAATAGGTCATTGAAAGCCAACTATTCTGCGAAGCTATTTACTAATTAATTATGCCTGGAATAATAATTACTGCCCTGAATGGTCACTCGGGAATACTTGGTGTAAACAAGCTAAACAAACAAGCTTAATTACCTTTTAGCGACTCAAAATAGCTTTTATTAGTGCCACCTCAATATTTCTTTTTCTTTCTTTTGATTTTACACCTCATAAACAAAGTTGGTAATGAAATAAAAACAAATATTCACATCCAGCTTTCCAGGGGGAAAGGAGTTCCCAAAAGCTGCTCTCTCAATACATAATTCCCAACACGCCTTCCAGAAGAGCGCTTGGTCACAAAAAACATCTGTAAAATAGACGTCAAATTCAACTTATCAGCTTCAATAGGGGCAGGAATTTCACCGCAAGTGTTTTTTCTCCCTCTCTTTTGTTGCTGAAAGGCACTGTGAGCCTGGGGAGGCACACAGGGAAAACAACTTCTCTTGCCACCGAGTTGAAGAACAAAGTGGTAAAAAGCTTAACTAATACAACAGGCAAAATAATGAGGAGACAAGAAAAAAAAATTACTATATCCTCCTAATCCTTCTAATTGCTACTTATTCCATAGGAAAATCCCCCCTGATTTTATATCACAATAGGAAGAGTTTAACCTCTCCTGCATCCCCCTTGGGAGCTGCTAATTGTCCTCAGCATCACGGTTTATGAACTGCCAAGGCAGGAAGAAAAGCATCTTTTCTGTTTGCTGGCTTAAATGAGCAAGCTTTAGTTCTGGCCAAGCAGTAATGTTGCCAACTACATTATCAGACCATAAACTCAGCTGCACAGTCCCCCTTCAGTCCCCCTTTCTTTCCTCCTCCTTCTTTTTTTTTTTTTTTTTTTTTGAAAGTATCCCATAGTGCAAGACCATCACTAGAACCAAAGTGCACAGATACCATGGCACCAGATCTGCTTGCATGAATAATATTCAAAAATAAAACCAACTTCCCAGTTAGCACATTTTAAAACGTGACCTCGGCGTTTCCGAAGGCAGCTTAAACTGGTAACAGTAAATGAGGCAGCTTCAGATTAACAATAAAACCCACTGCGTCTCTCCGTCTTTCTCCAAAAATTTATCTACTCTTTGGGTTAAAACTTCACCCTCCTCTCCCACCACCTTTCCCATTCCACCCGGGGCAATGCAGGGAGATTCATATGCAGAAGGATGAGCGTTGCTGCTGCCAATAGCAGTGCTGTGCTATTAAGATGCCACCCCTGCCACAAGGCCAAATGGAAAGCGGATCCACTAGATGAGCAATGATTCAGGACTTGTGTGGTGGGTGGAGTGTCCTACTTCTGACTAGATGACATACGGGCTGGAAAATAAGTTGTTAGTATGGGAGGGACTGGTGGAAAAACAAGGCAAACTGTAAACTTGTAAAACAAGCTCTTCATTCCTTCTAGAGCTACAACATCTCTGGCAGGGGCAAAAAGAGAGATTTAAAGGCTTTAAAGATTTAACCCATACCATCTACCATCTGAATTTTCATTCTGCGAACAGGAGATCAAAAGCACATGAGCAGCATGGGTCAAATTAATTCTCAGATCATGCACAGTTACACTAGCAATGCGTTTGACTTTCTGACCACAGAGTATTTGCTGTGATCCAGAAATCCTTGTAATTTTCTATATGCTAAAGCTGGAACTAACAGCAAAGATGAAGGGCAAACAGATGCATCTTCACGAGGGATTTTAAACTCCGCTTTAGGAGAACAGAACGACGCGAGGCTCAGAGCCCCCGTAGCTGCAACGGAAGCACACGGCCCCCCTCCATCTGTGTATTCCTGTTTGGGTAAGCAGGAGGATTCGAGGTGTGTAAAACGACTCTCCCAAAGAGCCCGTGGCCAAGATGGCCAAGGAGGAGAACCCGCAGAGCAGAAAGACAGCAACAAAGCTGCCTAGAAAGAAAATCTTCCTCCATGAGATCCGAAGCTCCCAGTATTCCTTGACGGATGAGCCCTGGCGCAGTGCTGGCACGCCAGGGAGCCTCCCTGCAGTGGCAGTTCCAAGCACTGCTGCCTGTCCCAGCTAGTCGTACGAGCCCTCCTGGTGCCCGTGAGCGCGGCCAGGGAACAGCACAGCCCCGTGTATCTCCTGCTTGGGGAAAAAAACCTCCTTTTTCTTCCCCTTTTCTTTCCCTCCTAACTTAGCTCTCCAATATAGCGCTACGCGTGCAAAGACGAGCCAAGCTTTTTGCATTTGCTCATCCAGAACAACCCTGACTTCAAATGAGGTTTCACCAAAGCACTGTAAAATTTAATCCTGGTACCGAATGACTCTGAGGGATGAAACGTGTAATTCTGCAGCCGCCTATTTGCATAACACTGAAGCACCTTATTAGGTTTACCTGTCGGTGGTGTACAGTGAATAATAGTCTGCCTCAATTCCTCGTTTTCATCATTTCTTAGGCCATCTGCATCAGCTGTATCCAAATAAAATGAAAAACAGGTTAGTCATGGACAGGGGAAGAGTGATACGCAACAAAGCTGCCTCGGATGGCAGCATTGCTTGGAGAGATCAAAGGCCTAACTCTCCACCCGTGCCCAAGCTTTAACAAGTGGAGATCTTGGGGTTGGCCACTTAGGGTCAAAGGCTCCCTGGAGAAGTTGCTGTAGCCACTGAAGATACTGCTGGCTGCCCTAGCTGCTCACAGAGCTTTAGAGCCAAGACACAAAGCCCTTCACTGCGAGGCCGTAAACTAGAGAGTCCAGGGATAAAGCTCAAGCTCTGTCTGAAGAGGGTTTGGTCTCAGCAGAGACCAATTGGATTTTTCTACTGGAAGAAAACTCCAGACATAATCCTGGCAATTTAGAATAAGGGGCATTTTTAACAGGAAAATCGTATGCCGTCCAACCTCACACATTTGCAAAGAGCGGCAAGGCGCTGCCCATCTGTGACCATGGGCCATGCTCTTTCAGAGGCAGCTTTCACAGCCCTACAAAGATTTACCTTCTTTTCCAGATTTCTTTATTTCCACAGTGTTCCGTGGCCTGGCACGGCCCAGAGCAGCCCTGCTGTCCCCCTGCAACGTGGCACTCACCTTTCTCACCACCCATGACGGCACCTTGACCCTGGCGACCGGCATCTTCGGCGTTGGAGTTGGTGTAAGACTCGCAAGCCCAAAACACACAGCACTGGTAAGCGTAGGGCACGGAGAGAGACCTGAAACACAGCCACAACCACCCACACGGTCATCTGGGTAACCCGAATTCAGCTCATTTGCTGTGAAGGGCTCTAGGGGATCGTTTCAGTTCTGAAACTGGGACCTCTCTCTGTCAGAATTGCTAAGTAAAACCCGTTGCAGGTTGGGCCGGTCGTAGTCATTTCTGATGACCTTTTCCACCGGGGTAAAGGGAAGGTGATGTATCCAAGTCTTGTTTGCAGCAAGGAGTACAAAAATATTCTGTCATGTTTAACTTACTTTACTACTCATTCTTCTCCTTATGCAAAACAAGTTCTCACTAGTTTTTGTGGTACAAATGAAAGCTCACCAAGCAAGATACCTACACAGTGGCCGTTGTGTAAGAAAGTTGATTACCAGATCACCCCAACGTTAAAAATGCATATTCTCAGTGTTCATTTTGCTGACGATTGACATGGGTGGACAACAGTGGCATAATGGTTGCAGTCCAAAGAAAAACCTCTCTGAATCAAGGCTGCAATATCAGCCACCAGCAGTATTCCTGAAATACATTCTCCTGTGCTCATGAGGAACATCTAGGACACACTAATGCCCAAGGCATCGATTCTCAACCAGAGATGAGCAGCAAAGTCTGTTACCTCCACAGAACTGCTGAGACCAGATTCTAAAAATGGTTTGGGCTTTCTTGCTGGCCTTGGGACAGATCACTAGTATCTTTATTGCCACTTTCCCAACTGATGGGGGGGGCAAACAATTTTTAATCGTTTCTTAGGGACTGGAAGACTAATAATTACAACGATCTTTGAAAAACACCTCATCATCAACCAATTCACCACCTGATGAAATTGCTAACAGGTTGCAAGTCGAGTGTTACTCCTATCATTTGCCCCCCAAAATAAGCAGCATTCGTATAAAGCTGGGTGACTATGGAGTTGGACCTGGGAGTCTGTCTCCGTCTCCCACCCTCTGAAAGACAGATGTGCTCAGTTCAAAATAACAAACAGGAACCCTCCCAACTGCTATGCCAAAGCCAGAGGCTTCTTTTTTTTTTTTTTTTTTTTTTTTAAAAAAAAAAAACAGGGAGCCATAATGTAAAAAAGTCCAAGAAAAATGCCTGCAAATGGCAGTGTCATTAACCAACGCACCGGAGCTTTGCGAAGTTCTTGGCAGCCAGAGCTTCTTTCAACTCCAAATTGCCTGCGAGCTTAAGCTGGTGCAGTCCACTCAAGCCTTCGGTTGGAACTGAAGTGAGTTCATTGAAACTGAGGTCTCTGAATGGGGAATGTTGACAGGGTGTTACAACGAGGTGGGCTCTGGGATCCCGCAGCACGGAAGGGAAGGGAAGACGGAAGGAGAGGGAAGCATCAGACCAAGGCTGAGGTCTGGGAAACGACTCTGTGCAGCTGGCACATTTAGGAAGCATTTCTCTACTGTGCTCTGCATGCATTTACATAGCAAGAGGTTGTGTGATCCACAGAGATGAAATGGAAGACAAATACATATCGCTTTTAAGCTAAATATATATATACACACACTATTTCACCAACTTCAGGCTGGGAAGAGGAGGCTGCTCCACAGAATAGCCCACTTACAGGTTAATGATAGCTCCGAGGGTAGCGAAGGCTTCCTTGTGGATATGGTGGATCCGATTTCTACTGAGGTCACTGCAAGGAAGGACAAAGAAGATGGTTTGAGTGCTTCTACCAGAGACTTGAAACGACTGCTGTGTGGAGAAGGCAAGCTGACTAATAAATTGCACCTTGGGCAGGGAAGCCAGGCAGCTCTCGTGGTTCCTTTCCCTGATCCGCAGACGGGCACAGAATGAGCCCAGTTTTGGTGAGGCAGCCCAAAACCATATCCAAATCCACGTGGGCCCCAAGACAGCCCCTATGTCCCACCTGCACTCGCCTTCCTGCGTGTCCCTTTTCCGGGACACTGGCAGCTCTATCTGCGCTCCCTAGGGCAGATCCCACTTCCTGGCTCCCCAGGACAGATCCCGCTCCCCTCAGTTTGGCGACAACTGGGACAATTTCATAGCTTACATATGATGGACTACTGAAAAAAATCTCTTTAAAAATGAAATTCCACACTAAAACTCTCTAGTAATTGGACATTCCATTTTCTGTGGCTGAAATGATATTTATCTTATTTTTACTTACACGTTCAAACAGCTTTCAGTAAAAATAAGTATTATTTTTACCTGTCCTTACTTGCAACCATGTATTTTCTTTCTGTGTACTATACAAATCTATGTGAAAGTCTAAAAAGCACAGCATGGAGATCAGAAAAAGGGGGGATTGAATCTGGCTGCTACTCGCATTTTGTCCGTGCACATTGAATGCTTTACCACAGGGAATCCAGCGGGTTTGGCCCTTTGACATAAACCAGATTCAGAACATCAAACCCTGCCATGCGCTTACATGTTAGAATTAGAAACTTTAGCTGGTTTTGTTCAGTATGTAACAACTTGCACTTACAGGACACGAAGGGAGGACAGTCCCTGAAAAGTATCGTCTCCGATTTCATGGATTTGATTATGCTGCAAGGAACTGCAAAGAGAAGGAGTGGAAACAAAACTTCATTTGCAAAGCGGGCTTACTCCATCCAAGGGTTAACTTGGATTTAAATCAAAATTAAATTAAAAATTCTACATGGAATTTTTCAGCCAGACTTTAACCTTGGGCACACTTTTATTTTTTGAAATAAGAAGCAAAATATTGAGACACAGCTCAAGAGTTAATGGACAAATTTTACTTCCATTTGCTGCATACACCGCAACTCCTGAGGGAAACGCGATTTGTCACTTTGGATGTGAGCAACGTCCATAATAAGCTCAAAGACAACAGAACACGATAGGAAAAGCCTGTGAGGAGCCTATCACTCCCACCCTTATTTAGGGGAAAGAAGCTTCAGAGTGGAAGCCAAAGCAGGAACCCATGTAGGGGGAAAATCACGTAGAAAATTAGGATAAGAAGCTTTAAATCAATGAAATAGAAGAGGGGAGGGGGGGAAAAAAAAAAGACGGTTTTGAGAAAAGAGAAAATGACTTGTAGGGACCCGAGGAAAAGGGATAGCATATGCTGGATGGGAGAAATTTATGAAGGGTGAAAAAGAAATAAAAGGAAGGAAAAATACCATAGAAAAATGCTCATTTCATTTCTGCATACAACAATACCACCGTGAAATGCACCATTAATGTGTCCGTTCTTTTTTATGACACTGGAACAATTAAAACTTATCTACCTCAGGAAAATGCAATTGGTTGACATCTCTGACCAGCAGAGTTCTCACAGGAGACATCATACGCTTTCTTTCTGGCCTTAAAAATGTGTGCTCATGATCGAATGAGCAAAACATAAGTTTCTGGAGCTCAGAACTTGTCACACTAAAAGAGTTAAGACAACCCAACATATATTCCCACTTACATTTCTTCCAAAGAATGGCAGCCCTTAAAACTCGAGAGTTCCTTGATATTGTTGTAAGACAAGTCCCTTCAAAATACAAAATGGGAGAAAAACGTTTAGTTCTGCTAGTGCTCTGTTCTGCATGAAACACTGCATCACTGAAGCCATTCAGCAAACAGACTGGCAGAAAAACCTTCTTGCTAGTAAATTGGAAGAAGAACTCAAGATAGATTTCCAGGATGAGCAATTCTAAGCAATACTTTAAATTAGCTTTAAAATTCTCAGAAAACGCTCTGGTGGAGATGAAATTAGGAGCACTTACAACGTTCGTAGCATCTTTTGCTCTTGGCATAAATTGATGGGAATACTGCTGATTTTGGTCCCTGTCAGTGTTCTGTGGGGGGAGAAAAAAAGGGTATATAAACGTTTGTGTTCTTGATCACATAAAAAGCAGGTGTAAGAGCAGAAAGATGGTGCCTCAGCTATTAGGGTGCTAGATTCACCCACCAGGAATCTTTTTTGGCTGTTCGTTTTCCAGTTTTCCAAGAAGGGGGTTAATATTACTGACATTTTCTCCCCAGGATGTTGTCAGAGCACCCAGGTATCACAGTAAGCAAAGCTATGGGACTACTTGCAAATTCGTGACAGCAAGACAGCACGTGTCCAGTTGCTTTCCAGATACATCCACTAAATCACATTTCAATTGCTTCACAAGAGACAACAGCAGCAAGTTATTGGAAATGACTTCTGCAAAAAAGACACTTACAGGCTCTCCAGATTAGTAGTTCCTGTCAAATTGGGAAACCACTGCACCATGCTGGCACCTCGAATGACCCTAAATGAAAAAAATAAAAATGAAAATTAGCTGTAAACTCTCTTCCGCAAATGAAGTGCGAAGTACTGGCATGAAGTAGGTATTTTCGGTAGGAAAACATTCTAACGTTTCTATTACTTTTGTTTAAATTTTACACAAAAGGATTTTCTTCTAGTGCTTCTTGCATTAATAACTTGCTTAGTAAATTACTCCTCCACTGGCGAAAAATCAGGCTTGTTCAAGGTTCAAAATCTCACTCCATTTTGCTTCTTTCTTCCCCCCAGAACCAATACCTGCTGCAAGCAAGCATGCACTAACCTGCAAAGCATTTACACAATGTATATCCCCGTTCAAAAACCACGCAGGACACATCAGAGTTTAAGAAAGAATCCGAGCATTTGGCCTGAGGTTACGTGCCTTATGCAAAGTAACCAAGGTTAAATAAGTAAATAAATTGTAAAGCATATCTATTAGTGCTTCTTAAGAAACTGGTATCTCCAACCATCACAATGTTTGTTAAAAGTAACTGCAAAAAAATATGCATAAAGTAAGAGGCAGAAGCAATCGGGGAATTCAACTGAGTTCTTAGCCCTCCCATTTCATAGTCACTTACTGGACTAGATAGTTGAGGTGGTACTTACAGAGAATGCAGATCTGAAAGGTTTTGGAAGGCTGAGTTCCCCACAAAAGACAGAGGATTGTCATACAAATGTCTGGGAAACGAAAAACACATTTCAATGCCTGTTCTCATAGTCTTTGCTGCTAGAGAGACTAAAAATAGATGCATGGAAACGACTTACATGGTCCTTAGGAGGGGGTTTCCTGAAAAAGCACCATCAGGAATTACGGAAATGTAGTTACTGTGAAATCCCCTGAAGATATTGACAAAGATGAAAACCAACATTTAAAAAGACATCACCATCGGATTCAACCAACAGTCATTCTTTTTGTGTCTACATACGTACTATATACATTCGCTTCCCATTCTTGTGAAAAAAACAGGATTGTCATTAAATAGGAGCACGTACAACTGTAGGACTAAAATTCTGAACGCTTGATTTGTGTCTACCACACACCATCAACATGAAAATATTTCATAAGAAAGAAGCTATTCTGTCCAAAATACCTTCTATACATTTTCCCCACCCTTGTTAAGGTGGCAACAGCGAGAACATGCATGATCAATGAATAAATAATAAATAATCCTGCTACTGCAGGCCAAAACCAGCTCATGATTGCCATCTATGCTAATGGTTCTCCTAAATAGTTAGCTTAATTATATAACTCCAAAATCATTTTCAATAGATTCTCTCTCTAACAGATTATTATATTCTCCTTTAATTATAGCATCGCTTGACATAACTTGGTCTGATTGAGGTTACTCTATGAGACAAGCATTCTTAAGTCCCCTAAGTCCTTTGCTCTTCTTACTTATGGAAAGGAAAAAGTGTGTAAAAAAAGAGATGAAAATTAATACTCACAACTCTTTTAAGTTTGGGAGTGCTTTTATTGCTTCAGGGAACTCTACCAAGTTGTTATAATTTAAATCCCTAGAAGAAATGAACGCAGCAAAATTAGAAAATATTGGATACTGGCCATGAATGGTCAAAAACATTCAATGCCAAAAAAAGATGTTTGAGAACATCTCTAATCAGATCACAGAATAACTTGATATTTAAATTTAGATTTAAGTCCTCTGATGTTTTACATGCTTAGTAACCAGGTAATAACTTAATATGTAATTTAACATTAGCCTGAGGATTATCCATACCAAGATGAGTGACCATTCCTTACAGCAAAAGATTTTTCAGCACCTGACATTTTTTTCTTCAAAATAATTTACACGAAAATGAGCTAATATTTCATCGCAACAAAAATGTTCACTTTCTTACAGCTTATTCAGAAAACTTTTCTTTTGGGTTTCATAAAATAAGCATTAAATAAGCCATAAGACTATAGCAGACCCTGAAGAAAAGATAACTATAAATATTAAAACAAAACAGAAGTAAACTGCTATGCCAAATTAGCAGGTATTAGTAAAAAAAAAATTAACAAAAATAAATAAATTATTAATAACAAAAATAACACTGCCACTGTTCTAGCAGTAATGTCTGAAGCTACTACAGATTTTTTCCAGAAGAGATTCCTGGTGAGAAGCAAAAGCTTTTTTGAAGAGCCTTATAGTATATAAATATAGACTGCTGCTATCTCGTTATTTCTTACCTTAATCTAATCATCTAAGTATTACTTACCTTAATAAGAGAATGACAAGGCAATTGGAGAAGGTAGCACTCCGGGACTCCTCCAAGCTCTCGATAGTAAAGCCTGCTGTCCCTGGCTCTAATGGGCCCTTCCCTTCCTGAATTTTACTTATGTGTTTAGTGTTGTTTTCCATTTGGCACTCGGGACAACACGTGCGGGGCGAGGGGAAGGTTCCGCTTCCCTCTGACCCCCTGTTTTTGGCTGGGGGCCAGCTGGGAAACCTCTTATCGCCACGTATTTGCGACGTGGTTGAAGTGTGTTTAACCCTCCAGCAAGGCTGAGAAACCCAATATTTGCTCCTTATCAAACGCCAGGCCCCTCGAGCAGCCACCCGGCCGCATGGAGCGCTAAGCAAAGGCGACGTGAGCGCGGGGACCGCGGCAGCAACGTCGGCCCACGCCGCGTTTCGCCCGGGCTAATACTGATCTGCTTCTGGTTATCGTGGCAGAGGCCTCACTTCCAAGGCCTGAGCCGGACCCACGTGCTCTCAGCAGATGCTGTGGCACGTGTATCACTGCCAGCACCTTCCTTGCGGCAGCAAAGTCGCTTGGAGTCGGGAGGGAGACCAATGCCAGCCAACAAAACCGCTTTTAGAGGCATACTTACAACGTTTCAAGGTTGTCTAGTCCATCAAAGCAGTGCTTTCCTATCGTTTTTATCTTATTATTATGAAGATGCCTAAAAAAGCAACAACAACAACAAAAGTATGATGACAAGTAAACGAGGTCATAGAAGTTAACCAACTAGTAAGTACCTCTATGCAAAGACAGTGAAATGCTTTGGAGAAACCATTACATGTGGTGGATTGTGGAAAAAAATATGATAAAATAAGGTTTAAACATAAATCGGTATAGTTGCTAGTGTTCCCCCTTGGAGGTATTCAAGGCTACTTTAGAGAAAATAAATTCTGTGACAGCTGCTGGGTTTAAATATTCATCGCTAGAACGAAATGTCATAGAAAAGCACAGAATCACCCCACGATCCACAGCACTTTTGACTTCCAGTTGAGCAGAGAAACAACTCTGCCAATTCTTCAGTGGATTATCTGCTACCCACGACCGTTTTCCCTGCGTTTGGGGGCGCAAGCTACGGGGCTGCCGAGCTAACGCACCGGCGCCGCTCCAGATAAATCATAAACCTGGGGGCAGGCAGGGGGGCCCGGAGCGACGCGGGGTCCCACCGCCGCAGCACTCACAGAACCACGAGGCTGGAGAGGTTGGTGAAGGCGTAGTCGGGCACGTGCGTTATCCTGTTGAGCGCCAGCGTGAGCGCCTGCAGCGAGGGCAGGTTGCTGAGCGGGCGCACGGGCACCTCCGTGAGGCTGTTGTCGTCCAGCCACAGGTGCCGGAGCTGCACCAGGCCCTCGAAGCTGCCCTCGGGCACGGCCGTGATGTGGTTGGCATCCAAACGCCTGCGCCGAGACAAAAGGCACCGCCGCACGTGAGAGACAGACGCTCCCCAGCACCTTCGCGAAGGGAATCGCTCCCGCGCGGAAACCCCCCGGCAAGGCCGTGCCAGGCTGTCCCCGCAGGAGGGACTTTCTCGGTCGGCTTCGTGTTCTTTTGGCGCTGGGATGCGCGTGGTTTACGCGTGCCGAGGGGAATTTCCACAGAGGAAAAGGTCAGGAAGCGCATCGAATTAAGCAGCAAATACTCAGATGTAGGGGGGAGCTTCTGCTTCAGGAAGAAAGATAGGAAGGAGAAAACCACACGCATCCCTTTAGGGATTACCTGCCTTTCTCCTACCTCCCAAATTCACACACCCGCCTGAAAACGCCAGAATGATTTTCCAGAGGAAAAAGCGTATGGGGACCCTCTCCTCGAGCCGAGCACTGCTCAGTGCCGGAACGAGCCCCTGGAGGTGCCGGCAAGCAAGGAGCCTCCACGGAGAAAACCCCGTTTCCAGCAATATTCTTTGCTGTTTGGACTCAGCTTTAACAGCGACTGTCCTTGTCCACGAAAGCGTTAAAACGAGAGCACGTTTGTTAAGTTACAGCTCGCAGCATATACTTAAATTCCTTAATCTTACAGAAGCTACTCCAGTTGCAGCCTCCCTATAGGCCCTGGCTTGCGTGAGACCCTTACATTTTTGCCTATAAATTCAGGCTTTGCTGGCTGAGCTGTCATCTTCACTTTCATTACCTGTCAGGGTCTTTCCTCACACAAACTCCAGCTCAAACTGCACAATAAAAAAGAGGAGGCAGCAAAAACCCATTGGCCCTGTGGCTTGGTCCTCATATGACTTATGTGCCCCAGGCTCCCTGTTGGCCAAGCAAGCTCGCCAAGGCAATCACCACAAGCATCCTGCTTTTCCCATTTCAGGGATGGAGAATTTTATCCCCCTTGCACTGCTCCGATAGCTCCGCGTGGATGCTAACAAAAGGAAAAGTCAAGGCCGACTCCTCTGTTCAACCACTCTCCTCAACGGCAGCCGTTGAAGGACTTTGTTCCTCTAAGTGCTCCTTCAAAAGCCGCAAAGAAATTAGTCAAATAACCCTGGAGTAGGTTTGTAGGTTCTGAAGTTGAGTACTGATAAGGTCGAGACAAGGCAAGACGCGGGGGCCGCCGTGTTAACAGGGCCACTCGAGCACCCTCAGCGCGTTTGCCCTCTGCGTCTCTGCGCCAACACAAGGAGTTGCTTTACAGCAGGTTTTATCTACAGCAGCGGGTGATGCTAATTCAACAGCCAGGATCGAGCCACGGACACAGGTTGCTTCCACTCAAGTGTTTAAGACGGTGCTTGGCAGAGATCCTAAGCAAAACTCCCTAGCCAGAAGAAACAAACAGTAGCGTTTGCATTCGAGAAGCTCCCTCCTGATCAACACGAGCTGGACAAGGGCTAAGTTGACAGGGATCCTTAATGCACGTGATGGGGCAATGGTCTCCCCACACACCCCAAATTTGGAGAACCTTAACGCCTTAATGGCCATTTCTGCTTCCATGCTCTTGCACCAAAGTCACAGGACCCGTCCCACGTTCCCCTGGCAGGAGATGCTCTCTACATTAGTAGAGGATGTACATAAATTACACGATAATTTTTTTGAGGGAATGTGTGTTTCTAACAGCAGTTCTGAAAACCCAAGCTAGTTTTCCTCAGAAAAAAGGGCAGAAAAGAACAGTTTGCTGCTTATCGACCTTGCTTCCTCCTCTCTGAGCTCCCTAAAACTGACAGAATTTATCGTTTGTCCATGAACAACAAAGCTGCCAGAAAGGGCAACGTCACCACGCTTTAAATTGTCATGTTACATCACATGGTTATACCAATTATAATATTCAAGAGTACAGAAGCATTCTGTGATTTCTTCAACACCTAATATGTCTACTGTTTTGAAATGTCCCCAATATCCCTTCTTTTTTTTTTTTTTTTTTTGCCAGTGACCTATTTAGATGCATGAATTAAGGGAAGGAAAAGAGAGAGACTGGCTTAATTCCTCCATTCACTGCTTTTCCCTTAGTTCTTTGTGCCTTCCCTTTTGATCATAAAGTTACCAGCAACAGGAGATTTAACATTTTAAACTTTAAATGGGGAACAAGGAGTACTGTAAATAGATAGAAACAAAAGTATATTCACTGAAAACCAAATGGATGATTTGCAGACAACAAAAGTCTGAGATAATTTCCTCTTTGGCACCAGGAAAACCTTGGAAGCGGGGAGCTTTTTTAAAGATTATTCATAAGCAGTTATTCGCACACTGCCATTTGAAGGGGTTTTATTGCAGTGCAGAATACTTGCACACAGCAGAGCGTGGCAGCTAGGGTACAACCTCCTCCTCCGAGACGTGACGGGGTAGGGGCAGACCCTGCCACGGATTCCTCGCTGCTGCTCCGGGCGGGAAGCGGCTGCCGGAGGGCCTCGGCCACGCTCCGGGCTTGGGAAACGCGGGAAGCGGCTCCGCGGGAAGGAGCAGCGTCCCGGGAGCCCCAGCGCTGGCATACGGGGAACACATCATCCGCCTCCTCTCTGCAGGCGGCAGCACGAGGGAGAAAACAGGAGCGCGCCGCCCACCCCAGCGATAGCATCTGCCGCCTACAGAACAGCAACCAGGCATTAAGCCCTGATTAATATGTTCTGTAAAACATAATAAGCCATGGGATAGCACGAGCACCAGGGAAATACCCTGTGAGGCACCGAAGGTGATGGCTGGGGTGCTCGTAAACGTCTGTGCGATGTCAACACCTTTCCATGAAGCCAGCACTATGCTCGAACAACGCTCCTTCCCAGGAGCAGATCCCCCTTTTCCTCCTCCAACACAAAAGCCTCCAGTGTGATTCACTTTTGCACAACATTTTCAAGTCGCTCAAACACCTTAGGACTCGCAGCAGGATGAGCAACACTTAACTCCGCCACCACTCCGCTTATCCAGCAATCTCCAGCCTAGGGTTGGGTTAAGAAAGTTTGGATTTGTGCCTCCCTACCAAAGACAGTTACCAAAATTCCTTACGAGCTTTTCTTGGAAAGCTTTGCTTCAGCTGAAATTGCAATATAGAAACCCAGATACGATATTACACAGAAATGATTATACTTCAAAGCTTTAGGGCACGAAGCAAACGCAAAGTGACTAAAAGCAGAATTTGGAGAGCAATGGAAAAACAAGAACACCGTAGGAACACTTACAGGGACTGTAAACCACTTAATCTTCTGATGGCCTCATTAGGTACAGTCTTCAGCTGGTTGTTCTGCAGGGTTCTGTAAAAATCCCCACCGTGTTAGTAAAAGAGAAGCTGATCATGCTCTATATATAAAGGTGCTGTTTGGATTTCACACATCTCTTAAAGCAATAAAGGCTTTTGAAATTAAACAGGACAAGATATTCCCAAACACGACTGTGACACGTGGAAACGGTCTGGCTCAGTCCTGCAGATACCTCCCCCCTGCACTCACTCGCAGAAAACACCCTTCATGTGCCGAAATTCCCCTGGGAATTCACTGAACAGCCAGAACAGCTTCACGGCAGTACAAACTGGCTGCAATGACTTATATTGCCTTATTTTCCTAAGCAACCATCCCAATGAAACCATCCTAAATGTGCTACAAAATGCACAAACCCCTAATTTTCCTCAAAGCCGCATCGGTGACGCTGCGTTAACGACCCACTTGGAGCACCAGCACTGCGAGCACCTCTGGGCACAGCAGGAAAAAGGCATCCAAGGAAACCAGAGCCAAGATGAATTAAGTTATGCAGGATGGGGTTTTTTTTAAAAAAAAAAAAAACTTTTCATTTGGGATGGTCTTAATATTGCGCAGCGAGCGCTTTTATAAACAGAATGTAGATAATCGATAGCTCACATGTAACATATGACTAGATCTTGGTGCATTTTGGCAAGGTGGGCAATTCGTATCCATAACATCCCAAGGTTGCAATTTTTCCAGCAATTGCTAAAATATTGAGCGCTTCCAGCCTTGACCATCCCACTGGAGACAGCTCCATGGGTCTCGCCACGTGGCACCCAAGGGTACCGCCGATGGCCCCTTTCCTCATCTGCATCCAAATACGCTGAATTTCTGCAGAATTTCTTCACAACCTCACAGCCCTTCGTCACCAGCTCATTTAAACATATGTGTAATTAACTACGTGCTGCCACGCTTGCACTTGGAAATATTTACACTAGCAAACACGCCACGATTTCTGGATAGAAGAGCGCTCTGTTTTAAAAATCCCAACAGGCAGCAGAAAGCTATTTTCATCCTTGGGCATGGAAAAACGTTTGAAGGGAATATTCGCATCTGAGAAAGCAAAACAGGATGAGGGAAACAAGACACAAGTCTAACCTTCTTTTTTTTTTTAATGAAATGCTTCTAGTAGTAAGTCAATCTCACCTAAAGAAGCCTCAGTCTATAGAGGCAACTTCTACTGCAGGGTCAAACACCACCTCAAGTCTCTGCAAGGGCCAGTTCTACCTGGAAATACCTGAATATCTCATGGAATGACGGGGAGGGCCAAGGAAGGGGTGTCAGACAAGGGAAACACGTTGTGTTTTGGGTTTTTTTTTTTTTTTTAATTCCCCTCTAAGGGTTTTTCTGCTACAAGATATAATTGAGAACCAAGCACCCCAATTAAATGCAACAATTACATTTCAGTGAAGTTTAGCTGTTCAAAACCCCCGCATGCAATAGGCTTTATAAAAAACACAGGAGATGTATAAGTTTAGGGGCAGAGGGATGCCACTGTGCTGTCGAAGCAGCAGAGGAAAGGAAAGCAAACAGGCCGAGCGGGCAGCAAGGAGCACCCGGCTAGCGGTGAATGCGAAAACTCGATTACTTACAGAACTTTGAGCTCTTTCAACCCAGACAAGGCCCTCGGGTGGATAAAAGAAAGGTCATTGCCAGCCAGCCGCCTGGAAAAAAATCGCAATAATAATTTCAATAGGCAAATACAGTGCTTTTACAGTCACGCAACACGGCAGGTCACCAGCGCCCCGAATCCTGCGAGCCATGATGCGTTTTCCATCAGGCTACACCATGTTCAGGGTTTCATCCGTTGCTTCAAGCACGAGACATTTTTGACAACCAGAATGCATGGCCGAGGCTCAGGGATGTGCTCTGGAAAACACGCTAGGAAGAAATGCCCTGTGGAAAGGTGAACGTTCGTCGTTCCTACTGGGCTTGAAGGGTGAGTTTGCCACCTTAAACACGATGCTCAGGCACCGGGCATTGCTTGGTGAAACGTGCCCGGCGTCCACGTGGTTTTAATCTCCAGATTTAAGATCAGACTTAAACTCTGAAGGAACTGTGCAGTCAGAGCAGGAATAGGGAGACGCTTGGTGCAACGGGGAAGGTCTGCGCTAAATCCAAGAACTGCTGCTGACAGTACCAGAAGTTACTGCTGATAAATCTGTCAGCTGCGTGGACAATTTTTGCCGGGAAGAAGCTGTTTTGTGGGGAGGGAGAGATGAAAGAAAGGAATGGATCCTAAAAGAGGCCAATTTCAAACCTGGATGGTGAGACATGAACACAGACTAAATTCTGAAAACAATCATGGTATTAAAAATAAGAGCCGCAGAGGATGCTGTGCAAGATAAAGGAGATTAGAAACACAAGCTCTTTGGGAACAGTTTATGCTCCCCGCTCCTCCTGCCCCTTCTCCTTCCCTCCTTCAAACATTTGAGGTGTCCTGGTCAGCAGACGCTGCGCGGTCCTGCCTCTGCCGAGCTGCTAACACGCACGACGCTGCCTGTTTCACTAAGGCTAAAAGCCCAAAACGTGGAACACCGGGTAAACTCAGGGCCCCATCTCAGCCAAAAATCTGCTGTCCAAATCTGGGTTTGTAGTCAAGCTAAGGAAAGGCAACGCATAACAAAACACTTACTACCTTGTACATAGTATTTCCATGGGATAGTTAGTAATGTAAAGACAGCAATTGCACTTAAAGAAGGCTACAGAATAGCAAAACTCACAGCTGCTGCCCCAGAGAACTGCAAAGTGAGATGGCAACTCGGCTGGCAAATGCATTTGTCAAAGGTGTGTGACCCACCAACACTGAAAACTTAGGAGAATCACTGCACTTATTCTGGAACTCTTCCATCAGCAATCGAGCCCCAGATTTTGGAGCTCTCACATGACTTTTCAAATACTTCTTTTTTTTTTTTTTATTAATAAGGATGAAATGATCCAGATGGCAACTAAAATCCCCCCAAAACTCATTTTGTCACGTCTCTATTTCCTTATTTAGGAAAGCGGGGGGATTGCAGGGTTTCCTGGCCTTCCTTTTAATAATTTCCTAAAAAGCTCCCTGTCAAACAAAGGCAGTCCTGATGAAACGCGCTGGCTCGCGGCAGCAGCCTCTTGCCAGGGATCTGCAGAACACATGCTCATTAAAACGGAGCTCAAAACCCCAAAATAGAAAGCCTGAAATCCAGGGAAATTTCACTGAGGCTACAGCAGCGCGTTACTCCACGCTCCGGCGCGAGCTGATGCTGGGATCTTTCTCCAGCCTTTTGCAGGCAGCCGACGGCGCATCTGCAACCCGCTCCATTTCCGCCTCTCCCGAGCCTGGCAGCCTTCCAGGAAGCAGGAATCCCCCCCGGGATCCCACCAGCCACGTGTGCTGAACCCCTGCAAGGGGAGCTCGCGCTGGCTCCCATGGTGCGTCCCAAAACACTGGGAGCAGCCTAACCTCGGGAGACACCCGTGTCCCAGGTGGACAACGAATGTCCTGAGAATTCCCGAGCATTGGAAGGGGTGCTCTGCTTGTGTTTGCAAGTAGTACAACCTCCAGGTCTAAAGGCCAACTGGTTGCCCTTACAAAAAGCAGGATCCACGCCGCGTGAGGACTCTCTTCCACAATACCTGGTTCCCAAGGATAGCCTCTTGCCCTGAAACTTTTCCAAAGGCAGCAGGAGGTAGCTTGCAACCAGCTTTTATTTGGGAAATTGAAGGTTTTGCAACCTTGCTGCATGTGGCCAAGTTGACCAGCGGGGTGACTGCAGAAACGGGCAGCAGGTCCCAGGGACACATTTTCACCCGTGGCATTTGAAAGCAACACTCATTTCTCACAGGGTGCAACCCAAACTTCGTGGAAACCCCTCCTGGTCTCATCCCAGGTACCAGGGAACCTCAGGACACGTGAGCACAGAACCAGGTCTCCCCGTGTCCTTGTGAGAATTTCCACACCTCTCACACGGGGTTTTGCAGGGAGTCTCGGCAGTGTTTGTGACGAGTCTAGCCCTGGCTGTCAGCCTTGTCCCTGATAACAAGGCATTAGTCACTTTAGGCTTGTTAAGAATTTACTTCATGAATGCGTATGAGTCAATGTGCTCTTTCCATGTACCAACTGTACCCTAACTTCCCTGAAAATTCAAGTCCTGGCAATGGATACAGTCCTTCGGCACCAGAAGGAATTATCTTATTGACTATTTTTATTTCTAACCGTTTTCTGGTAAGAACCAAGAGTCCTGCTCAAAACCTAGTCACAGCTGAACCTTCCACGGTCCCCTATGGATTGACCCACCAGACAACATCTTCATCTCTGCTTTCCATTTAAGATACCCAGAGTCTGGAGATGGGAATTTCACACACGTTTCTCTTGGACAACTGATAAACACTATAGATCTGTAGCAATATGTCAATACTTACTCATGATGCTTTGAAGATTTACACACAAGCTACAGACATTTGCAGGCAAAATATCTGAGCTGCTCATGCCGAGCTGTTGCAGTAAGTACCTCTCATTTCTCCTGCCTCCAAAGCACGAAGCTCTCTGCAAAATGCACCATTTTCCCCCAAAGGGTCTCTGCTTTGTGGTGAGAACTTTCCTTAGCTTTACTATAGCCTAATCAGACCCATCCTTGACGGGTTTCTCAGAGCACTTGGGTGAGTCCACGCACACAGACCTAGCGCCTCCCTCTCTGACTTCTGCTTCCCTCTCATTTCTCACTGCAAAAAGGAGCAATTACTACAGGTTCCACCTTGTGAGGCAGAGAAGGAGCCACCCAAAGCACCTATTCCATATTCCTCACTGTGACAGATAAGCTTAAATACTTTTCTACATGAATTTCTACAAAATTTCCCTTCTACAAAGACACTCCACAAACAGGGAGCAGGGAGACCAAGCTACGTCCTCGTGGTCCAGCGTGCTGCCCGCTGGCTTGGGTGCTTAGAAGGCTCCCAAGATCCTGCAAGGCCTTCACAATTAGGCATGGGAAGATGGAAAGAAGAGCTGCTGAGATAGCAAATCCTCCAGGTCGCACCGGTCCGTCCATAAAGCCTCTCTTGCCCTGGCATTTAGTGGCTTTCCAGGCACGGGGTCTGTTGGAAAAGTCGGCATTCGACCTCGGGGCCGTTCGGCTCAAGGGGCTCCCGCGTGAACGCAACGCTCAGCGCCGCGAGAAGGGAAAGCTCCAGCTCCCTCTTCCCAAGCGCACGGAAGCACCAGGCATGTCTTGGGATCCTAACCGAGGACCGTGCCAAGTTTCAGAAGCAACGTGCAGAAACAAGCCCTGCCGAGGAACTTCCTCGCCTCCCAAAATAATGGAATTTACTCGACCTGCTCACAGTTTTCCCCCTCTACCAGGAAAACACCACGACTGTGCAGCACAGGGAGAACTTCGCAAGCTGCAGAAACATTATCAGCAGGCTCGAAACTCACCCAGAACCCAACCGATTCGGGACTCCCGCAGATAAGAAAACATTAATTACACGCAAGTCGGCCAACGTGTTTTCTAAACACCGCTTAGCATCCAGCGCAGCCCAAGTAGGTGATGTTTAAAAATATCTTAGCTGACTGTGGTTGATTCTACCTGGGAGTCTTTGCCCAGGGCTCTGTCTCGACTCGACCGGGAGGCGCAAGCTGCGACAGGCCGGGCC